TTATCTGTGTCCTCTCTAGATTTATTAATCATGTCTTGCACCATGAGCAAAATCTTTGCTATTATCTGAGTAATTATTTCTGTTTTCATTTTTCCCAGATCCTCTTTTGTTACCAGTTCAGAGAGTCCAGGTGGTTGAGTAACAGGTTGTTCCATCTCGTTTCCCTTTAGGGTTGCTGTAGGTGATCCAGAAGTCTGTTTTTGAAACTTGTTTATGTGTCTTCTCATTTCCATGGGAGGGGGTGCTTCTGGTGCCCACACAGCTCACCTTCTCTGCCCTAGGAGCTTGAGATGGCAGCAGGGGAGCTTCCTTCCGGGTTCTTGGACCCACTCAGCTTCTCTGCCCTAGGAGCCTGTGATGGCAGGGGGGAGCTTCCTTCTGGGTGCTGGGACCAGCTGAGCTTCTCTGACCTAGGAGACTGGGATGGGGCAGGGATCTTCCTTCCAGGTGCTGGGACTGGCTGAGCTTCTCTGCCCTAGGAGCCTGGGATGGAGGTGGGGAGCTTCCTTCCGGGTGGTGGGACTGGCTGAGCTTCTCTGCCCTAGGAGCCTGGGATGGAGGTGGGGAGCTTCCTTCCAGGTGCTGGGACCAGCTGAGCTTCTCTGCCCTAGGAGCCTGGGATGGAGTTGGGGAGCTTCCTTCCAGGTGCTGGGACCAGCTGAGTTTCTCTAGTTTTCAGATCTTCAACAGATACATTACACTATATTTTTTAGCAGACTATTTTTATGATAATTTTTAGCCTGAAGCATTTTGTACATAAAAATGACATTTTGACAGAAACAATGTGGAGGAAACTATGTTTTAAATCTTTTGGTATGAAACACATTCTAAGGTCACAGAATCATTTTTTGGCAATAGATGGATTATTATTACTGTACAGAAGAACAAAGAATGAAAGGAAAACATGATGCTTTTTCAAATAAATGCCAAATATCTTGTTTTGAAATTAGATTTTGAATAAAGTCATTTCCCAAGTATCTTATTCTCTGAAGCAGAAAAGACTATGGAAGAATACTGTGCTTTTACAAATAGCAATTTCTTAGCTAATTCCTTAGCTAATTGTTCAGTTTTGGAATAAGGAGAGGTGCAAGTTGCAAATTTACACAACTTTCATTGTATTGCTCCGTGAAGTTAAAAAACCGACAGTGTTATCTATGCATCTAAGACACTCTGAGCATGCTTGTTGGACCAATAAATGATTATACAATACAATATGATATTCTCTCCCTTTTCTGTGCAAAATTGTGAAATATTGGCTTTGAAATACAAGTGTTACTTTTTTCTCAGTGTGAACAAGTCAGAATTACTTCCCTGTCTCCAGTTTTAGGGAGTTTTATTTGAGCAAAATTCAAGCAAGAATTAGATACCTTCCCTTTTGCCTCTCCTTTTAGTTCTGAAACTATAGAACAGAGGCAAGAAACCAAATACAGAGGCACACATTGCTTAAGTGTCACTTCAGCAGCACCCCAGCCAGATGCAAACAATTGAAGACATAATAAGACTGAGGACAGTAAACATTAGAGGCATGCTGTGGATGTTTATTCCCTCTGCCATCATTTATATTTCTGTAGTGAAGATTCAGGTCAGTCACCATTTAGACAACTCCCTGTAAACAATACTCACAATTAATGCTGCACCAGGATCACAGGAATTCCTTTGGTGAGCTCCAAGAGATTGGTAACAATACCTCCTAAAGGGCCACGTTGCTAGGTAACAGCTTGTTTCCTTGGTCAGAGCGAATCCATGGAAGACCCCCAAAAGTGGACAGCTCTCCTATCCCCTCCTGGGAATGTGATGAAAAACGTCTTCAGAAAAATAGCCTTATCAGAGCGAGAGGAAAGTTTTTTCACCAGCAAGACATGTCTGAAAGGTAAGAAAATGAGATTAAAAGTAACCTTAGTCTTTATTTGACAGAGAGGGGGAAAGGGGCCAAAGAAACGTAGATAGTATTACCAGATTAAATTTCATTTAAAGATGTCAAGTCATAGGACATGTATTACCAATGAAGGCTGCTTGACAGAGAAACAAACCTAAACATAACCTCTCTCCTTATACTATGCAGATGGCTACAAACACAATGCAGTTTTTTGTACTAAAGAGAGGTGGGCTTGCTCTCCTAATGATGGTGTGTCTATAGATACACAGGACTCCTTAAAATAGTCTATATAAATTTCAGGGGGGAAATAGACAAGACTCATAAATGCAGTATCTATTAATGTTAGCTAGACAGGTTTAAATGAAACTACTACTACCACAAGAAAAGACACAGCTCATTAAAGCCACAGAGCAGATTAAGAGGCCAAAACCTAATCTTACATTTCATAGCTGTCCCATAAGTGTTTCTCAAAGCATGCTGATAAACAGCATATAATCATGGGGTTTGTGGGCTCCTTGAATTTGGAGGGGGCTACTTTATATTGCTGTGTAACCTGGCACTTATCTTTTAAAAAATAAGATTTGTACCTTTCATTTTTAAGAGTAAGTATACCACAGCTTCATAAAAGTATAAAACTTACTTGTAGTTTTCCATTTACTGCCTATAGTTAAGAGAAAAATTATGCTTAGGGAGGGGATTGAGGCCAAAGGAGTGTTAAAAGTTCTATTTTTGTTAGCCAACCGTGTATTTCTCAAGCAATGTCCAAATATTATGTTGATGTTAATGTTAAAATCTAAATGGGTCATAATTTGAGAAGTCTCCATGTAATATATTACTTTTTAGTGAGTAGGAGTTCTGTGCAGAATTATGAAATTCATTTTTGCCTAGTTGCTAAAACCTTTTAATACACTACACAAGAGGAGGTTTATTTGTGAGCTCTGTATAAAATGATTTTTTACTATTAGTATTGCTATCAACCAGCAAACCTATATAAAACAGTTTAGAGACAGTGTGCAAGGTGATACAACTTAAATCTCACTCTTCAAATTTTGAAAGGGAAAGAAAGAAAATAGGAAGGGAATGGTGAAGGAGAAAGAAAAAGAGGGAGCAAAGAAAGGAAAAGAAAGAAAACTAAAAAGCTTTCTCTGCACCAGTATTTTACTAATAACATTGCTGAGTATTGTGAAACAAGAATCTCATTCATTCAACCTTCCTAGAATACAGTTGGAACTTTATAGGTGTATCTTTGTTCACAAGGCCTAAAGCACATATTTTCTTTTAGTGTCTATATTCTTCTCTATTGCAGTGTAGTATGCAGTTAAATGTTCAAAGTTTTAACAATACAGGGAGTAGCACAGGTTCCTCCAGTATTTATTAAAAACCTAAGTAGCAGCTATGTGCATTGTTACAATTAAGTTGTATAAATTTCTACATATAATTCCTATAGGGAACATAGAGATACTCAGCTCCTCTGTCTTCATTGTTTTGGTATTTGGATATGACTTTTGCTTTTATAAATGTCAGTGAACTCAGTAATAGACGTGAAAGCTTACTAACCTCTTTTGGAGAAGGATTATACTTGTTGTTTTACTTTTTTTGTACTTTAATTTGTGACCTTTTGGTGTTTATAAGACTGAGCATAGGGCTAGGGTAATGAGCACATGCAAATTTTATAAAAGTAAAAAGTGGGTCACATAAAATTAAAATCTGACTCACTCAGATTAAAGTACAAAAAAATCTAATTGCAGTTGTATATTTTTCAAAATTAAAATTTATTGTATGGTAGCAATCTAATTTAAGGCTTATCTGTTAAAATCCTACACTTTATGATAATTGACATATTTTTGGAATTTCTTCAAAACACTTTTTCAGAAGAAAATGTGACCCGGTTTCTTTTATACGAGAAACTCAAAATATAAATAAAGACCAAAGTAAAAGATAGATAATGGGCAGTAGGGAGATAGATCATTCTCAAGGGGAAAAGAATCAAGACATAGGGAGGGTTGGGGGATGAAAAAAGTAATTAAGATGAGTTATGTACTTGTACATGTCCCCACAAGGAATGGAAACAGTACGTACTGCAAATGTGTACCAAAGGAAAAAACCTAAAGAGATCAGGAGATGGGGAGGTGAGAAGGGAAGGGCCTGGAAGAAGGAATTAAGATGTATTATATACCTGTGCCAACTCCCCACCAGGACTGTAAACATTATGGACTACACACATGTACTAATAAAAAATTACTTTCCTAGAAAGAAATTCATTGATTAATTATTATTTATTTAATTTAAGGTTTTATTTCTAGAAAATTTAGAACTGTCAGAAAGTAATCATAATATTCAAATTAAAACCCCAGTATATTTTATTTGCTATTTGAGCAATTAATAACTTACATTATCAAATTTCTTCTTGATTCTATGACAGCTCAGTTGAGAAAAGTTTCTGTTATTTCATTACCATCTGCAGCATATAGATCACACAATCATTATGAGTTTACAAATAAATAAAATAGAAGCATAGAGAGGACAGAAATTCTTAAAAATGATCTATAAATAAATAAATAGAAGAGGCCAAATTTATATCTCCTTTCACTCAAATGTAATGCTTTAGAGGTAACAGTAATTTTCTGCTACTCTAAGTCTCAGAATTGCCTAGTCTTAGCACTGGATTTGAAAACCTCGCTTGATATTCTTTCAGAGGAGAAGAGGTGTTTGAAAGCTCAGGAAGAATGCCCTTTGCTAAGACAAAAATAAAATTGAACCTCATTTCTTTCCTTCTTTCTTAAATACAAAGCTCTTATGACAAAGCAATGAATATGCATAGCACAGTTAAAAACTGAGTCATATTTGGGATTGTTTTGCTGACCCTGCATGACTCACAGGAGCCCACTGGCCTGCTGTATGATGTGTGCCCAGCACACCTTCCTCCCACTCAAGAGCCCGGTTCACCTTGGAAACTAGGCCATCTGCCACTTCCTCCTTCCCTCACATTACAAAGTTACATAATCACCAACTTGACATTTTAATTAAATAGACAGCACCCCTTGCTGCAGACAATTTATGAGGCTTATAAATTTGTGATTGTAAAAGGACATTGCAATCTTCTGATGAAAGGTTCTCATGAATTGATGTTATATTATTGTTCCTTTTTTATCCAGCAATCTCAACTCACCTGATTCCTTCTTGTTAGTCATTCTACCTTAAAAAAAAAAAAAAAAAAGAATAGATAGCCAATTCAGATAACACCACCTATTTTAAAGACCCTGTAAATCATGGCTGATGAATGCTGTACAGTTTTAACCATTGCACCTTCTCCGTGGCAGCTTTATATTAGAACATTAATAAAAGTAATTCCTCTTTCATAAAAGCTCAGATTTGTAATTTATGATAACTGTTTGTTCACTGCAGGCAGAAAGATTAAAAATGTGTAAGCCAATATACCAATTAAACTGCGTGTGCCTGGTTTTATTGGGGGTGTGGGGAGTTAGAAGAGGTTTTTAAAACTAGTATGATATTATCTAGGATAGTATTCTTCATAGATTCAACTACTGAAGGTGTAATTTTTTGTTTTCAGTAAATAAGAACTGCTCAGATTTACAGGTTCTCTTCACCAGTGAAATTATTTCTACTTGGTTAAGTGGAGCAATAAGAATAAGAAAATCAGTACTAGTAGTTGTCCCTAATAGCAACTCCATCTTAGAGCTTATAGTTATTTAAAGCACCACAGTACCTTATCTGAATCTTATTTGAATCCTAGTGATTAACACATGGTCATTTGCCTGTGTCTTGAGTAAGTTACCCTACCTCTCTGTACCTCAGCTTCCTCATCCACTTCATCAAGTGAATGGCATGGTAAATGAGTTCCATGTAAAGCTCTTAGTATAGTGTCTAGCATATGGTGTGTGCTCAATAAATGTTAGCTATAATTATTATGCTAGTAATAGTAGTAGCAAGAATGTTACACAACAAAAGAAAAATCTATCACTCAGAGTTTACACTATCTTCTAAATATCAAAGATAAAAAAACCAGTGATCAGAGGTTCTCACTATTTTGTCCAGTATCATAGCAGATTCTAATCCTCTTCCTAAGCAAATATTACAATTTTGCCCTCAGTGTTGTGCACATTAAAATAGTGGTAGATGCAGCAAAGGTTTGGGTTAATTATGTTACTGGAAGATCCTTTTCTTTTAACTTACGTTTTTTAACTAGAGAATCAGAGTTTACTTATTTTGGTGAGATTTCTCAAAAAAAAAAAAGCAAAATGAAGAAAAATTCCATCAGTGGTTCCGCCACCTGCCTCGCAAGCGCAAAGACCCGATTTTGATCCCCGGTACCAAAAAAAAAAAAAAAAAAAAAAAAATGGAATTGGCAATAGAAGTAACTAACATAGACTTTGAGAATATCTCGAGGTTTTACCAGGATTGTTCCAGCACCCCGCCCCTTGTCATTGCTCCCTGACATGGTGCCCAGGAGTAACAGAAGATTGTGAAGGCAGAAAGCCAGAGATTTCACACAAAGAAAAACTAGTCATCTACTAGTTAGCATCTCCTTAGCTAAAACTCTTGACTATTCTTCATTTGATTCTTTTAAAAAGATAGAAAGAGAAATGAAGGAGAATGTGAGCTGTGTACTTAATTATATTGCCAAAATTTTAATTGCTTTCTAATATTAATAAATACCTACGTATTATCAGATGTTATCACAAAAAGTTCTAGTTTGAACCAGGAAAAACATAGCTAGGAACATAGCTTAGTGTAAAAGCACATGCTTAACATGGCCAACATCCTGCATCTGTTCCACAAATAAATAAATTACTTAATAAAGCAGAGAAAAACCTAATGTAAGGTAAGACAATAACTTTCACTCACTCTGAAACACTCTTACTTTGTAACTGTTGTACATGGTCTTGTAGAATTACACAAGAAGATGTGATGTAAACTCACTCAACTGGATCTTCTTACCAGATCTTTTATGTATGTGAACTCTTTTTTCTATATCTTACTGTGGTGAGATTATGTAAGTAGAGCATTTCTCATACTTTAGATTTAAAAAATAGAGACTTCTAGGGTATTAACTCAGTCCCTAATTGTGTAACCATCACTGGAGTGAAAAATCTCAAGACAACTCTCAAGACACAATTTGCCATGTTCATTATCCTTGTTTTAATCTGATTTTGTATTGGAAGAAAATAGCTACTATACTTTAATAAAGACAAGTCAGTTAAAAAGCCATTTAACTATCCCCTGCGCATCTCCCAAAATATTATTCTATTAATTTTAAATTTTTCTTAAAGTTGTTGACTAAAATTTTGCTTATAGATAGCAGAATTAATTCACTTTAGGAATAATACAATTTAAGGAATTTAATATTTTACTTCTAAAATTGTTAATTTTTAACAAAAATTTAGTCTTTAGTAATATCAAGAAGCAATATCCAAACTAATCAAATGGAAGCAATATGAAAACATATATTTTCTGAATTTTTTACATAATTAAGAAACAATTTTTGACTTTTAAATTTAGTGGCAGATGGAGAAATAATTTTTTTCTTGATAATAAAGTGTGGTTTTGTTTTATTTTTAATGATATGGTAATGCTATTTTTATACTAGGAAATTATTTTTAGAATATAATGTAATTTAGAAAATAATGGCTGTGTAGACTTATGATATCAGCTCAGTCTTTAAGTAAAAAATGAAAGACATCTCAGTACTTTATTTCATGAATGTGAGCTCAATATACAACAATTACATATTTCCTTGTTAGAAAAGCTTCTACAGAGGTTTAGTAACTGTACTATAAAATATATAATGCTATTTAAGAATCTTGAAGCCTAAAAAAATCTATCAAGAGAAAAAAAGAGGACAGAAAGAGTACCATGATTTCTAGGTTTACTAAAGACAAATCATCTTTAGATATTGTTTTTAAATTATTGGCTTAAAATCATGCATAGCTTCAATTACAGAAAGAGAAAAATAACTATTGCTGAGGAAGAAGAGAAAATAGTAAGAATAACAATGAATAATAAACCAGAGGTTAGTATAGAAGAGCAAAAAAGACATTTTCTATCTTAGTGTCGTAAAAATGGGAATATAGGAATAACTGAACTGTTGAGAAAAATTGATTAAAGAACCTGGCTTTTTCATTTGTTTGCCACTAAATTTTTAAATTTTTTTTCTTAGCACATGTTTGCCATACATAATGATTACCAATATTTAGAGGAACTCTCAGAAAACATTTAAGGCCCAGATTCATGAGCACCAACAGAGTTTAAGAATGTATATATACCAAATCTCCAGCTATAGCTACACTAGGAATGACATTCCAATATGAGACTGAGCTCCTTAGTATCATATAGGTATGTATGTGGCGGTGTGTGTGTGTGTGTGTGTGTGTGTGTGTTAGCAGATTAATTTTCCTGTGACACATAGTTCCTGTACAGCCCTTAATAATGCGGGGAATTTGTCTTATATGACTATTAACCGGAAAAAAAATAGTATTATGACAAGATGGGAAAGTCCTTTTAAGATCTAGGTAATCCTACAGTATAATTTATTTCTCTTCCAAATGGAAAAGTTTGTGCTTATAATTTATTGTTATTTTTAAACAAAGGCATTGACAATCAAAGACTTTAGAAGAGATGCATCAACACTATAAGCATTTTATTTGATTCAGCTCCTCAGATCAAAACACAAGTAGTCAAGAGATTTGTCCATCTAATTCAGCATACTACTCTGATCCAAGTGAGACTCATATTCTGTCAGCTCTGTCAAGGAACCGAAGAACGTTATATTCACTTTCAGATTCTGGAATATCATCCTCGGTAAATAGTTTTCATTATCCCTTTACCTAAACATGTTATCTTATATTTAATATTTTAAAATAACACCCGATATACATCTCTTCCTCTTTCCCATCATCTGTAATTGTTCACTTATCCCACTGGCTTAAGATGAGTTATTCATATATCTGCTTTGAAAATTACAGAAAGTTGGTTTCGAAGCAAAATTAGCACATTTTATTCCTAATGTCTTACACAGCTCACAGATCTCATAGCTAGGGTACAATACATATTTTTGAATGAATGAATGCATTGAAATGAAGCATATTGTTGGCCGTATACAAACAAATCAACCAGAATATATGTTTTGAAAAATTCAGAGCTAATGAGACTCTAGATTAGTTAACTGGATCATTAAAATCAAGAAGGGAAAAAGAATAGGGCAAAACACAAGTATTCATTATTCCTTTAGAAAGAAACAATAGTCATACAACATTCAAAACCTTGCATAGAAATTAAACAAAGATGCGCAGTGTCTTATTTTCCTACAATGCCAGAAGCTCTAAATTAACCATGTAACTCCTTTTATAAAGAGGTTTTCTGTACAAAATTAGATGTTGTGTAAAAAAATGAAAGCTTTACTCTCAAATACAGCTTTAACTTAGATTTGTTTCTTTTTCCAGTATGAGTCTCATAACATAGTACAAAGAAGCAAAGGGATGTAGCAGACCCAGGGAACTTAACTTGCAAAAAATGTTTATTTTGTAATAGAAGTGAGAAAAGAAAAATTCTAAGAACACATTATGATAGGAAAGAAGCTTCTATAAACAGGAAAGTTAATCAACAATAGACCTGTTCACTATATTTTGTAGTAATCAAAATATATTTTTGTTTATTGGTTGTTGTAAAAAACAGGTCACAAGGATAAGTTAATTATTTGAAAGCCCATTAGCAAATTCTCAGACTATCTCAAGAAAATTTATTAAATTTTAGAGTTATTGTTAATAAGCCAGGGAGCTTCTCTTGCTAGCTCTACTTTTATAGTGGGATATTAATTGGAACAATCAATGTCATTTAATAACTATTACAGTTAAAAGTTAATAAGTACTACAATTAAGTATACCTTTTTCCCATTTACTTTGTGGCAGCCTTTTCCCATTTCTATTCTATGGTATGCTCTAGTCACATGTATTGCACCAAGAATAAAAGTTTTTATGATCCAAATATCTGGAAGAATACTTGAAAGCATGGACTAACAATGTATATCACCATACTAAAGGTCCTGAGACATCCTTCCTGAAAGAAAATTGTTTAACTTTCTTAATTAAAGAAAGGTTTCATCCAGAGCCTCATAGGCTTATCTAATGACGGAAATAGTTTCAGTGTTTTTATGAGTGAGACAAATTTACAGGTGAAAGAAAACATAATCTACATGAAAAACTAGTCAATAAGATGAAGATAACTGTTTCAAATATGTTAATGATATTTCATTTAATATTCCAGGTTGGTGTGCTTATATATGTGTACAACACTGGTTAACAGAGGAATGAATCTATGTCATATGTATGTATTTAACATACTATTCTTTTCAAGAAATATGACTAATGTTTATGTTAACCTCTAAAGCATCATAGGCTCTATAAAATACTGGGGACTTTGAGCAACTAAAACTTTACTGTTAGGAAACAGTATAAAAGTGCCCCAAATGTGATCTCAGCACATGTTTTGAGAGATAATATACTGTCCAGAACAAGAAAAACAGCCAGGTCAGAAGTATTTAATTCAGTACTGCCCACACATTTTGAAGAATGTTTATAAATTGGGACTTTCCCCAGGAAGAATCACTAGGATATTTACTAATTTATAAACCATGATCTGTGAGTAATAATTGAATGACTTCGGGAGATGACAAATATTACCAAACCTATGTTTGCACATCCATGTTTATAGAAGCACAGTTCATTATAGCTGCGTTTTGGAAGTACCTTACATGTCCTTCAACAGATGAGTGGATAAAGAAAATGTAGTTTTTAAACACTACTACTGTGTCATACTACTGTGCCATAAAGAAATATAAATTTGAATCATTTGTAGGAAAATGGATGTAACTTGAGACCGTAATGATAAATGCAATAAATTAGACACATAAGCTTAAATATCACATTGTTTCTCTTACATGAGAAATCCAAATTATAAATAAAGAGCAAAATAAAAGATAACAGGAAATAGGGAGATAGATCTTTCTCAAATGGGAAGAGGTTAAGAGATGAAGGGCAAGAGGAAAGGAGAGTAGGAAAAGGGGATGGAAAAAGGAATTAAAATGTGTTATATATATGTATCAACTCAAAATATAGTGAATACAAGCATTATGTACTGTACTGCAAGCATGTACTAACAAAAAATAAAAATAAATAAAATAGTAGTCCATATAGAGGGATTCTTTTACGTAACTTGCAAGGGCAGTCATGAACAATTGGAGCAAGACAGATGAATTATAATAATGAAAAAGACTTGCATAATGAAGACATCTTAATTAGAACCATTCTAAATTGGAATGAGATGCCTCATGAAATATTCAATAAATATTAAAGGATGATTTATCAGGGCTGGTGTAAGTGGAATAATGAGGCAGACATTTATTTAGTTATGTCATTTGCCATCAAACATAAATCAGTTGCAGGTGTTGTGAATACAGTGTTGAATAGGAACATATAATTTAGAATGGACTAAAATGACTTCCACAAGGACATCATTGGATATTTGGAATCCAATTTGCCTGAATTCTTAGCATGGATTTGTACTACTTTTACTCAAAGAATAATAAATAAATTATATATTGCCAGATGATATTTCTCTTCTTTCTTATTTAAAGCTTCCATCAGATTCTTGCAAGTACCTCACTTGGCACAAGATAGAACAACATGACATTCAAGGAAGTCAACTGCATTGCCCAAGAGTAAGAGAAGGTAAAATAATCAATGTATATATTCTTTGTGTACATACTCTGAGAAGTTATTTTATTTTATGGATTAAAACACAATACTTAAAGGTAGAAAATATTCCTTTTTCAATACCATGGAACTGGTAGAGTAAAATCACCTTATAAGGAATATTCTTGAAACTGATTACATAATTACATAAACAATATATTGTGTGAAATATTGAAAAAATAGAAAGATAAAGAGAAACCTGTAAACCAACTATTTAAAATAGCCACTGTGAATTTTAGTTCCACAGTCATTTATTATAAAATATTCATACCCCATCCATATACTTCAATGTCAACATAATTGCCTGATCCATTAGAAGGATCCTATCCTTGTGAGACTTACAAAGCAAATAGGACTGTTAGACACTAACGCATTGCACTGGGTCAAAATACACTAATCACCAACAGAGAGGTAACAGGAAAACTTGTATTTTAAAACCCATCTGAGAATATATTCAACACTTCACAACCACCCAATATCCTAGAACACACTATCAGGAGAAGGCTGTTCCAGAGAAAGGCCCTTATAAAAAAATAGGCAAGATATCCAATCTAAATATGTTCAACTTTCAGCATAGAAATAAAGGAAATGTGAAAAAACAAAGAAACATGAGTCCTTCAAAAATTTATAATTCTCTAGTTACTGACTTCAATGATATTGAAGTAGATGAAAATTCAGATAAAGAATTAAAAGAATAATTCTTTAAAAGATCAATGAATTTTAAGAGCATGAAGAAAAATATCTGAATGAATTAAGGAAGACAATGTAGGGTAGGAATGAAAAAATTCCATAAAGCGATAGAGATTGTGAAAAATAATGAAGCAGAAATCTTGCAAAGGAAAATCTCAATGAGTCAAATAAAAATCTCAGTGGAAAGTCTCACTAATAGACTAGATTAAATGGGAGAAATATTTCAGGGCTTGAAAAGAATTGATTTATTCAGATAGTAATAAAAAATAAGAAATTATGCACATAATATGCAAGAACATTGGCTCACAATTAAAATACCGTATCATGAATTTTTGGAACCAATGGATGTCAATAAAGTCAGAAAATCTATTTAGTGAAATAATAAAAAATTTCCCAAATCTTGAGAAAGTTGCAGACACCTAAGTACAGGAGGCTTCTAGAGCCTCAGATAGATATGACTAGAAAATAACATCCCCACATCATAGTATAGTTAAAAGGCTAAGAATACAAAACCAAGAGCAATTACATTGCAAGCTTCAAGATGGAAACACCAAGTTATCTCTGAAGACAAACTCATCAGAATAACAGCAAATTACTTAGGACACACTGTAAATGTCAGAAGGGCATGGAATGATGCATGTCAAGACCTTAAAACAAATAACTCCACCCTAGATTACTATATCTAGAAAACCTCTCCTTCAAAATGAAGGAGAAATAAACACCTTCCAAGTAAGCAAGAAGTAATTTATGCCCACTAAGCCAGCATTGCAGAAGATATATAAAGGAATGCTATGTACATAAGAGGAAGAATGGATAAGCAAATGAGAATTAGGAAAGAATCAAACATAAAGGCCAACAAACTGACAAGAATTAGCATATGCCTTTCTACTATAACCCTGTATAAAAATGGTCTTCATTTTCCGATTAAAAGACACAGACTGCAAGAAACATACCTCCGTAACAAAGACACAGATAGACTGAAAGTGAAAGGATGCCAAATGGTATTTCACGCAATTGAAATAAAAAAAAAAAACAACAATCAGGAATAGCTATATTCATATCCAACAGAGCAGACTTCAAGGTAAATTTGGTCAGAAAAGACAGAGAAGGTAACTATATATGGGTAAAGGAAAAAATCCACCTAGAAAATATAATGATTGAAAAAATATTTACACCAAAATTGGCACACTGAATTTCATTAAAAAAAACTATTCTGCAAAAGGGAAAGATAATCCCCAATACCACAATAGTAAATGATTTCAATTCCCCACTCTCACAAACAAATAAATAAGACCAAAAAAATCAACAAAGAGGTTTGTTTGAGTGAATTGGAAAGGAGACAGCAGCCATGTTGGGGGAGCTGCTCCGAAGTTCCACCTCACAAGGGCTCCCCCTTTCCTCGCCCCCTCCCCCGACCCTTTTCCCTTCCCGGGCCCACCATTCGCCCAGCTCCCCGAGGAGCAGAGCACCAGAGTTCCTCTTGTTTTATAGTCAACAAGTACAATGTTCTAAGCACATTTTGTCCTCAGTAAAAGAGGGCCCTTGGACAAAATTTGGCTGGCGCCCCATTGGGATAAGAAGCTAACCAAAGCCCATGTGTTTGAATGTAACTTAGAGAGCAGTGTGGAGAGTATCATCTCACCAAACGTGAAGATGGCGCTGCGAACATCAGGACATCTCTTACTGGAAGTAGTGTGAATCTATCACAAGAAAGCCAATACCTTCTCACAGACTGTAATAAAGCATTCATTAAGATAAAGATGGCCTTTTGGCCAGGTGTTGTTGACCTGCCTGAGGAAAATCGAGAAGCAACCTATAATGCCATCACAGTACCTGAAGAATTTCATGACTTTGATCAGCCACTGCCTGACTTAGATGACATTGATGTAGCCCAGCAGTTCAGCCTGAACCAGAGTAGAGTGGAAGAGACAACCATGAGAGAAGTTGGGAACATCAGTATCCTGCAGGGAAATGACTTCGGTGACTTTGGAATGGATGATCATGAGATCATGAGAGAAGGCAGTGCTTTTGACGATGATGGCTTGTTAGTCAGCACTAGTGCGTCTAACCTTCTCCTGGAGCCCGAACAGAGCACCAGCAATCTGAATGAGAAAATCAAAATGGGCTCGTCGACAATGTCATTCTGCTGATGCTCCTGCAGCTGGTCTTCTCTGAGAATTTCTGGGTTTTCAAATTCTCTGAGGACCTCATCCAGGTTGTCTGCCTCGCCTCCTTTCCTCCTTTTCTTAAGATCTTCTGGTACATGTGGTGTAAGACAGCAGCTGCTGGATTGATTTCTCATGGTCCCTTACAATTTTAAAGCTATTTTCTTTTCCTGGTCACTAATTGCAATCTTATCTTCTTATATCTGAAATTCTGTCCTCATATTGGCTCATTCTGCTGCTTAGACTTTCAGTGGAGTTTTTAACCTCCTGGAAATCTGTTTGCATCTGTTTTATGAATTCCATTTGTTTCCTATGTTAGGATTCCATTGAATTCCTGAGCTCCTCTCTACATTTATTAATCATGTCTTGCACCATGAGCACAGTCTCTGCTGTTATCTAAGAAATTATTTCGGATTTCATTTTTTCCAGATCCTCTTTTGTTGCCAGTTCAGAGAGTCCAGGTAGTTGAGAATCAGATTGTTCCATCTCATTTCCCTTTAGGGTTGCTGTAGGTGATTGGGAAGTCTGGTTCTGAGACTTGTTTACGTGTCTTCTCATTTTGATGGGGTTGGGGGTGCTGCTGGCACCTGTGCAGCTCACCTCCTGTGTGCTGGTGGGGGTGGTATGGTGGCCAAGAACCCTTCTCTTGTGCACTGGGAGTGGCTCACCTCCTGTGTGCTCTACAATCTACCAAAATTAAATCAAGGATATGAAAAAACAAATATCAACATGAAATTAGTTTGAGGCAGTAATAATAGTGTCTCCCAACAAATAAAAACATTGGATTGGGTTGATTAACTGCTACATTTTGCCAGACCTTCAAAGAAGAGCTAATAGCAGTGCTCTCCAAACTATTCTATGAAATAGAAAGAGAAGGAGTGTTTCTAAACTTATATACAAAGCAAGTGTCACCGTGATAGCAAAACTGGCCACAACAAAAACATTATAGGCCAATATCCTTGATGAACATAGACACAAAAATCCTCAATACTGCAAACTAAATGGACAAACATATTAAAAGGATTATATACCATGATCAAGTAAGTTTAATTCCAGGAAAAAAGGATGATTTGATATACCCAAATTGATAAATGTAATACAGCATATAAATGGAGGATAAAAATCAAATGATTATCTCATTTGAGGCAGAAAATTTTTTTGAAAAATTCAATATCGCTGTCCTAAAAACCCTGAAGAAATTACATATAGAAACAGCTTACCTTGACATAATAAAGGCTATATATGACATAACCATGGCCAACATCATGCTGAATAGAGAAAATTTAATGATTCTTAAAATCAGGAATGAGACAAGGATAAACACTCTGACCACTCTTCTTTAAAATAGTCCTTGAAATTTAAGCCAGAATAATTAGGTAAATAAAAGAAATAAAAGACACACCAATTAGAAAGTATAAAGTTCAATTACCTGTGTTTACTGGTGATATGATCCTATATTAAAAGACTCTAAATCTAAAGACTCTTCTAGAAAAGTTTTAGTTCTGATAGACAAAATCAGCAAAGTAGCAAATTATAAAATCAACATAAAAGTCAATAACTTCTAAATGAAACTATTGATAAAGAAATCAGCAAAAACAATTCAATTAACAGCTTTTAAAAGTAACTAGAAACAAACCTAATCAAGGAAGTGAAATATCTCTATAATACAAGTTATAGAACTCTGAAGAAATAATTTGAAGAAGACACTAGAAGATGAAAAAATTGCCCAAGTTCATGTGTCTGGGGAATTAATACTGTTAGAATGATCATGTTACTGAAAGTGATCTATAGACATAGTGCAACCCTCACAAAAATGATCATGATATTCTTCACTGAACTAGGAAAAAGAACCTTAAAATTCATATGGGAACACAAAAGACCAAGAACAGACAAGAAATCCTCAGCAGAAAGAGCAAAGCTGAAAGTATCACAATACCTGAATTCGATATATACTACAGAGAAGTAGGATAGCTTGTATATCAGTAAGATAGCATGGTACTGACGTCAAAACACATACTTATAGCCTAGGTGTTCATCAGTGGACGAATAGATACAAAAATGTGGTATATGTGCACAAGAATGAAATCATGTCATTTGCAGGAAAATAGATAGAACTGGGAA